ATTCTAAAACAATCTAGCCATTTACCTTAAGCAGCTACAGAATAAAAGAACAAATCGAGTCCAATTTAAGTGGTATGCGGTAAGTTATAAAGATCAACAATCGATGAAAAAGAAACAAGAGAGAAAAATCAATGAAACAAAAGTTAATTATTTTGAAAGAGCAACAAAACTGATAAAAGCTTAGCAAAACTAACCAAGAAAAGAATGAAAATTAACAATTAGATAGCATAATTTGTGCTCGAGATGTACTAAGCACGTTTATATCAATTTGAGCATAAGACTATTTAAGTCAAATCTAGAGAAAGCTGTTGAAAGAGAAAAATATTATAAAATATATACAAATCAAGTGGAAAATTTAGGCAGATATAGGCAAATTCTTCAAAAAACAAATTTACCAAAACTAGAGAGAGAGAAAAATCTGAATATTTTGATACTTATTGAAGAAGTTCAAGTCATAATTTAAAATCTTCCCATAAAGAAAACTCAAGGTGTGGACAGTTTTACTGGTAATTCTTTCTAACATTTGAGAAGAAAATATTACTGATCTTGTGTAAACTCTATACCAGACATTACAAAAAGAAGAAACCATTTCCAGTTCATTTTATAATGCCTGTAACCCTTGATACCAACACTTGACAATGTCATTAAAACCACACCCACCCCCACCCCCACAACCACACAGATCACTACTCCCTTAAGGACCTACACACATACAAAAAACTGAATATATAAACAAACTAGTACATCATATCCAAGTCGCTGTATCCCAAAATGCAAGATCAAAATTTTTTAAAAAATTAAAAACGTAATTCACCAAGTGGTGTATTACAAATGAGAAAAACATATGATTATTTCGATAGAGTTAAAAAAAAAATCTCAGCAAACTAGAAATGTAAAGAACTTCCTCAATTTAAAAAAATCTGTAAAAAGTTTATACCAACATTATGTTTTAAGGTGAAATACTGAATGCTGTTAAGATTGGGCACAAGATGGGATGGCTGTTCTATTTCTAGTCAACACTCTGCTGGAGGTCCTAGCCAGAACAGAAGGTTAAGAAAAAGAAACCTATTCCTAGAAGTGAGATTATGGGGCCAAATAGCAGTTCCATTTTTAATCTTTTGAGGAAACTCCACAGTTTTCCACAGTGGCTGCACCAGTCTGCACTCCCACCAGCAATGTACTAGGGTTCCCCTTTCTCCACACCCTCGCTAGCACTTGTTGATTTATTGATGGCAGCCATTCTGACAGGTGTGAGGTGATACCTCACTGTCATTTAAATTTGCATCTCTCTGATGATTAGTTACATTGAGCATTTTTTCATGTCTGTTGGCCATCTGTATGTCCTCTTTAGAGAAGTGTCTATTCAGGTCCTCTGCCCATTTTTTAATTGGATTGTCTTCCTTTTGCTGAATTGTACTGAGTACTTTATATATTTTGGAAATTAACCCCTCATCAGATGTATAATTGGCAAATATGTTCTTCCATACAGTGGGTTCCCTTTTCATTTTGATGCTGGTTTCTTTTGTTATGCAGAAGCTTTTTAGTTTGAAATATAAGGCACAAAGATTGAAAAGAAAGAAATCCAGAAGTCTTTATCTATAGATGTGACAATATATATAGAATACATTCAGAGAAAATCCTAAGCAATCTTTAAAGAAAAAAAAAAGAACTAATGACTGAATTTAGCAAGGTCACAAGAATATAAATCGAATACACTCATTCACCACTTCATGATGGAGAGAGGCGCCACAGGGTGACTTCATCATCGTGTGACCATCACAGGGTGCACTCACACAAACCTAGGTGGCACAGTCTACCACACTCCTAGGCTGCATTGCTCCTAGGCCACGCGCCTGTACAGATGCTACTATATAAAGCAACATGAGATCAGATCTAAGCACAAGCGAAAATAATGCAATCGAGATGTGGTAAACAGGAGATGAAGCTTCTACCTGTGTAACAAGTCATACTGTTTTATAGCAAACTTTTTTACAAGTAGAAAAAGTAAAACATTTAAAAAAAAGTATAGTAAATACGTAAGTAACATGGTCACTTATCATTATCTAGTATTATGTACTGTAGATAATTGCATGTGCTATACTTTTATATGACCAGCAACACACTAGGTTTACACCAACATCATCACAAACACATGAATAATGTACTTCATTACGTTAAGATTGCTACATCAGCACTAGCTGACGGGAAATTTTCAGTTCCATTACAATCTTATGGGATTACACTGTAGTATATACAGTCCATCATTGACCAAAAACATCATTATGTGGCAGCACATGATAATATATAAAATTCAATTGTACTTCTGTTTGTTAGCAACAAAAACTTGAAAAATGAAATTAGAGAAACAAGAGCATCAAAACATTGCAATGCCTAGCAATAAGCTTTTTTTTAAATTAGCAACATCTCTACTTTGAAGCTATAAAATAACATCAAGAGAAATTAAGATCTAAATAAATGGAGAGATATGTCATTTGTTGAAGAGTATATAATATGGTTCAGATGACAATTCTTACCAAATTGATCTACAGTCAATGCAATCCCAATGCAAGCTTTGTAGTACATATTGAGAAGCTAATTTTAAAATTTATATGCAAATACAAAGGACTACAAGTGCCAAAATGATCTAGAAAACTTACAGAACTTGGAAAACTTTTCTACAAAGACAAATGGATATCCACATAAGAAAAAAAATTGACCTTGACCCCTACCTGACACTACACAAAAGAAATTAATTTGAGTTGGAACACAAAACATAAAACTTAAATATAAAATTTCTATCTTCCTGTCATGGCCAGTGTGGTGCAGTTGATTGGAGCATTGTCCCATGCACTGAAGGGCAGCAGGTTAGATTCCGGTCAGAGCACATACCCAGGTTGCAGGTTCAATTCCCAGTCGGGACATATATGGGAGGCAAGTGATTGAGGTTTCTCTCTCATATAGATGTTTCTCTCTCTCCCCCTTCCTCTTTCTCTAAAATCAATAAAACCATATCCCCAAGTGAGGATTAAAAAAAAAATTGTATCTCCCTACTAATGAGATACCATTTCAAACCCACTGGAATGACTAAAATTAAAGACTGATAATACCAAATGCTGCCAAAGATGGGAAGCAACTTCAATTTGCATAATTTGCTGGTGGGAGTGTAAAAATCATACAATCACTTTGGAAAAGTGTTTGGCAGTTTCTCATAACATTAACCATACACATATACTTTAACCTAGCAATTCCATCATAGATATCAATCCAAGAGAAACGAAAACATATGTCCACTAAATAACTTGACAAAAATATCCATAGCAGCTTTATTCATAATAGTTCAAAACAGGAAACAACCCAAATGTCCATCAAGAGGAAAATAAAGTGGTATATTCATATGGAATTCCACTCAGCAATAAAACATAAATGACTGATACACACACCACAGTGGATGAATCTTAGATATTTACTGATTTAAAGTGTATTTTATGAGTCCATTTATACAAACTTCTAGAACAAGTAAAACCTACCTACAGTGATAAAATAGTGCTCCAAGAGGTGAAAGTGGGGTTGGCAGGAACTGACTTAGAAGAGGAAGGAACTTACTGGAGTGACAGAAATTTTGTGGGTTACTTAGGTGTAAGATGTGCTCATCAAAAACTCATTAAACTGTAATTAAGATCTACAAATTTGACTTTATGTAAATTATATCATTAAAATAAATGCTTCCCTTATGCCCGGTTGGGCGTGGCTCAGCGGCTGAGCGTCGACCTAGGATCCAGGCAATCAGGGTTCGATTCCCAGTCAAGGTACATGCCCGGTTGCAGGCTCGATCCCCAGTCGGGGGCGTGCAGAAGGCAGCCAATCAATGACTCTCTCATCATTGATGCTTCTCTCTCTCTCTCTCTCTCTCTTTCCTTTCCTCTCTCTGAAATCAATAAAGATATATTTTTTAAAATAAATAAATAAAATAAAATGAAATAAATGCTTCCCTTAAGAAAAAAATAAATCAAGCCATTAGAAGTGACAGACCAAATTTTGGCCAGTCTAGGTAAACATGGAAACACATATAGTCATACAACTCTTGACTTGGGAAAGCAAGTACACCAGTTTCTCTAGTGATAAAAGGTTTATTCACATATCAAACTGAAACTTCTTATAGAGATACTAGGAAATACAATAGTAAAAACATGCTAGCAAGCTTCACATGAAAAGTGATACATCTACACTGATTTTTTTTTAAATAAAAGTTAAAGCACACTGTTGAATTATAATTCTGACAAACAGAACTAAGATTTTAAGATTAGTATGAGAATATTTAAATTCAGGAATAGCTGCTAGCAATTTGTTTCTAACATTTAACCACCACCCCCCGCCCCAATCTCTTCAGAGTTCCACATATCTTTAGTGCATGGTAATATTAAGAAGAAAGCCTGAGTCATTCTGTAAGGATTTTTCATACTGACTCTCCTGTTAATACAAAGACAGTCTAAGCAGAGGCATTATTATGTAACATACAGGTTTCAAGAGAGCATGGTCCTGCCAACATAGATTTCAAACTTCTAGCCTCCTAGACTGTGAGACAATAATATTTTGTTTTAGGCCACCCAGTTTGTACTATTTTGTTATGAAAGCCCTAGAAAAATAATACAGATGTACCATTTACCACAGTCCTCTATTATTATATTATTTTCATTAGTGACTTAAGACTAATAATTGGAAAAGATTTTTAAATGAATGGACACATTAATCAGATCTCTTCTGACAAATGTCCTATATTTCACTGTGGGAAGTGTGATTATGTTATTAAAATACTAAGAATATAGGCATCCCTACAGGCTTTGTGTATATTTGTGGAGAAATTAGAAGATACATACAGGAGTTTGAAAACTAAATAAAATTTTTATTTTAAAGCATCACAAATAATTACAAGTTAAATGTCCCAACTACACAAACTATTACATATGTATATACATGTATGCATATATATATATATGTATATATATATATATATACACACACACAAACGTATTTAAACTCATCTTTTTATCTGAGTAAAAAGAAGAACACTTTCTTCATTCAGGAGATTTTTGATGTTGTAATAATTACCTAGAAGTGACAAGAAAATAAAATTAAAAATTATTTCCATAAGATCATTTCCTTTTAATTAAATGTTTAGCCATCACTAAGGCAGTTAAAGTATATAGTACCAAAATTCAATTTATCTAACCCAAAGAACCTCTTATTTAACTCCATTAATTAAAAAAACCCAACAGTGATTCACATAAGGCTTGAAAGAATGTAAGTTCCACATCATTTTGAAAATGAACACGAAGATAAATTAGACAAGGGTTCAAGAAAAGAAAATCTCTCTGAACCCAGTGGTTATTAGGGTCTTTGGAACAACTGTGGATTCCCCTAAAACAGACATATGTATACATAGGTAAGTATAAAATGTAAAATATTAAGTAAAATAAAATCTCAAAGTTAAAAAAAAGGCAAATGTAACTCTTAAATTAGATAACAGCAAAAGTGAAATACAAATTAACAAACAGCACACAAATGCAGATTTATAGCACTCAGTACAATACTGCGACTTTCTATATATTAGAAATTGATACATATTAAGATTAACTGAGTTAATAAATGTAAAATGTTCATAATAGTTCTTACACACACAAAAGACTATACAAATATAGCTACTATTATTGTCTCCTTTCATTAGAATGTAAGGTCGATGAGGGCAGGGATTTTTGCCTGTTTTGTTATATATCCACATTCTTAGAGCAATGCTTGATAGACTCTCGGGTCACACTTGTTGAATAAGTGAATGAACAAATAAATTAAAATTCCTATTCCCAAAGACTTGTGTTCTTCAATAACCGATGAAGCATACTATTCCATATGTTTAAAATAACCTACTAAAAATTGTTAGACTACATAATGTCTTAGAAATAACACAAGGAAAATAATTTTCCCTCTACCCTGGATGCAACGTATTTTCTAACTAGATATTTTTATATTCAGCAATAAACTAAACAACTCTTGTTCAATTTTCATGTATCAAAACACTAATACACTTACCTAATGATAAAATTAAAGGAAAATATGTACCAACCTCTTTAGCATCAGTCACATCAGCTTCATTTTGACACTGTAGCTTCCATTTTTATTGTACTCATGAGCAACTATATAAATATTTAACCACGTGAAAAAAAAGTCTTTAATTATTCTTACCTGAAGGAACATAGAATGAATCTCCAGTTGTTATTACATAAGGTGTTTCATGTAAGGTACATAAAAGGTCACCAAAATTAACATAAAAAACCTGTAAAATTAAAAATTAAAATCTCATTTCACTTTGAACCATATCACAACTGTACTCCAAAGAAACTTACAAGAAAAGTGGTAAGCAGAGTAACTGCCTTCGAAAGATGTCCATATGCTAATCTCTGTAATTTGTTATAGTATATAGCAAAAAGGAGCATGAGGTGGGGAGATTACCCTGAATTATCTAGATGGGCCCAATCTAATAACATAAGCCCTTAAAAATGGAAAATTTCTCCTGCTGGAAGCAGAAGAGAGATGAAAGCAGAGGAGAAGTCAAAGAAATGTGAAGCATGAGAAGGCTCTGTGATGTTGCCAGAACTGAAGATAAGAGGACCATGAGCCAAGGAATGTAGGCTACTTCTAAAAACAGAATGATATTCTGGCCAACAGCCAGTGAGGAAAAGGGAACCACAGTCCTACAACCACATGGAACTGAATTCTGCCAATAACCTGAGTGAACTTGAAAGGAGATTCATCCTAAGAGCCTCCAGAGAGAAATACAGATGCCCCATCATCTTGATTCCAGCCTTGTAATACACTACAGAGTACTCAGCCAAGCCCACCAGACTTCTCACCTACATTTTAAGTCACTAAATTTGTGGTAATTTGTTAAAGCCGCAAAAGAAAACACAGTAAAAATTTTGTTCTCCCTTATTATTTGTTAGCTTATGGAAGTTTAGAACTACTATAAAGAATACCACTTACCTATACTAGAAAAATAGCTAGGTATTATGTAACTTCTTTAAAAGTTATACGCTTGAGACATGAAGCTAAATCTAATGAATCAAAGGAAGAACAAAAAGCAAAAAAATAAAAATAAAAATAAATAAAATCATACATTTAGATAAGCATCAAGATTAAGAAAGTAAAAAAAGGAAAAATCTAACTTTTGGTCATCAGGCTTCCATATTCAAACAGCAAATTTTATATTTCATACACAGAAAGCATTTGGCAATGATGTTTTGGGGGGCAAATAAAAAACCTAAGGCCTTCAAACACTGAGGTTCAAATTTTGACACTTAGCCATCAAGAATTTTTCCACAGAAAATTATTCCTCCTCCTTTTCCTTCTATTTTTTTCCTTACCATTTTGTAAAATGAGCCTAAAATACCAGAAAAATAGCAGCTAGTAGCTAGCACCTATACAGCACTTATTCCACACCAGCCACTGCTCTGAGCATTTTACTTTTATTCATTTAATGTGAGACCAGTACTATTTTATAGCTTTTCAAAGAAAAAAATGAGGCTCAGAGGGGTTAACTTTCCAAGGTCACAATGTAAACGGTAGAGCTGGAATTTGAACTCAGGCACTTTCCTAAATTTATGTTCTTAACCACTATATATACTAATTCCCTAAGTAGGAAAAGAGCTCTTGTAGTGGTTCTAAAGGTATTTTAAAATTTAATAAAGAAATATATTTTTTTATCTAAAAATATTTTGCCTCAATTTAAAAGACAAAATGTAGTAACACTACCCAGAAAGTCAAGCACATACAGGGTGTCCCAAAAAAATGTATACACACTTTAACAGCTGAAAGCTCAATTTTGAAAATGAAATGTACTTTAAAAATCACTTCCTTTATAATTATTCAGTGTGTGTATACATTTTTGGGGGACACCCTATATTTCTAGGTGGTTTTGTTTTGAAATATATCTTTATTGATTCGGAGAGAGGAAGGGGAGGGAGAGTTGAAACATCAATGATGAGAGTCGTCATTGACAGGCTGCCTCATACATGCCCCCCATTGGGGATCAAGCCCACAACCTGGACATGACCGGGAATCGAACCGTGATCTCATGGATCCTAGGTCGATGCTCAACCACTGAGCCACACGCAGCCAGGCTAGGTGTTTTTATTTTATTTATTCAGTTTGGCTCTCAAAGCACACCACATTTTTGCAATCAGTTTACTAAGAAGGCTTTTGAAATACCTAATGGAATATCTAACTCCCATGAATATCTAACACTAACAACCAGCCATATTCAGAGTCTATTTACTTCCCCCATTCCACATTACTTTGAAGTGCCCATCAATATAAATCATCTGTAAATATCCCAGTGTATAGTGAAAGATCAGGTGCTCTTATAAAGTATGACCACAACACTGCCATCACACCTAAAAATAAATATTTAATATCAAATACCCAGTCACTATTCAAATTTCTAATTATCTCTTAAATGTCACATTTTTAAGGGTTTGCTTAAATTGGGATCCAATTTAAAAAATAAAGATATTTCTTAGAGATTTTTAGAGAAGGGGGAAGGAGAGGGAAAGAGAGAAACATTGATGTGAGAGTAAAACATCAATCGGCTTCCTCCATCAATCGGCACACACTATACTGGGGATTGTGCCAGGAATCCGGGTATGTGCCTTTCGGTGCACAGGATGGTGCCCAACCAACTGAGCCAAACTGGCCAGGGCTATTTCCCTTTACGTACCATACTTGTCAAAAGGAGTTGGATTCCTAGATTTCTCCAACAGTGAAATAAAGAAACTTCACTTTTCACCTCTACCTATTCGATTCTAGTAGTATTCCTCTAGTTTTTCTTTTTGTAGTAGGTCTTACAAATTCATGGATTTGGATAATTGATGTGTATCAATCCACTGAAGTTGTTTTTTAAAAATTTAAATCATTTTTAATTTTTCAATTACATATAATATCATGCTAGTTTCAGGGGTACACCCCAGTGGTTATATAACTAAGTTATTCTTACTGAAATTCAAGTTTTTGAAAATCATTTTTATTTTTCAATTACAGTTGACATGCATTATTAGTTTCGGGTGTACACTGCAGCTATTAGACATTACATAACTAAGTGAGCATCCCGATAAATCATGCACCCATCTGACATATAGACAGTTATTAAAATATTGACTATATTCCCTATGCTTTACTTTACATCCCCATGACTATGCCTGTAACTACCAATTTGTACTTCTTAATCCCTTTACCTTTTTCACCCATCCCCCCAACCCCCTCCCACCTGGCTACTGTCAAAATGTTCTCTGTATCTATGAATCTGTTTCTATTCTGCTTGTTCATTTGTTTTTTTAGATTCAAATGTTGATAGAGATGCATTTATTGTTCATATTTTTACATATATATTTTTTCCTCCCCCTCCTCCTCCTTCTTCAAGAGGACCCTTTAACATTTATGTAATACTGGTTTGGTGGTGATGAACTCCTTTAGCCTTTTCTTGACTGGGAAGTTCTGTATCTGTTCTTTGACTCTAAAAGGCAGCTTTGCTGATTACATTAATCCTGGTTGTAGGTCCTTCTTTTTCATCACACTAAATATTTCCTGCAAATCCATTCTGGCCTATAAAGTCTCTGTTGAGAAATCGGCTTGCAGTCCATGGGAGCTCCCTTGTAAGTAAATAACTGCTTTTCTCTTGCTGCTTTTAATATTGTTTTTAAACTTTTGCATTTTAATTATGATGTGTCTTGGCCTCTTTTGGTTCATCTTGTTTTCGACTCTCTGTGCTTCCCAGACTTGTATGTCTATTTCCTTCACTAGGTTAGGGAAGTTTTGTGTCATTATTTTTTCAAATAGGTTTTCAATTTCTTGCTCTCTCTTGTCTGCTTCCGGCACCCCCATGATGCAAATGTTGGTACCCTTAAGTTGTCCCAGAGGCTCATTACACTATCCTAATTTTTTTTTCCTGTTCTGATAGGGTATTTTTGCTTCCTAATATTCCAAATTGCTGATATGATTCTTGGCACCATCTACTGTAAAGTTGATTCTCTGTGATGTATTCTTTATTTCAGTTACTGTATTCTTTTCAAACTGGTCCTTTTTATGCTGCTGAAGCTCTGAGTTCACTGAGCACCCTCATAACCAGTGTTTTGAACTGTGCATCTAGTAGGTTGCTTGTCTCCATCTTGCTCAGTTCTTTTCTGGAGTTTTGTTCTGTTCTTTCATTTGGGACATGTTTCACTCCTCATTTTTGTCTATTTGTTTCCATGTATTAGGTAGAGCTGCTACCTCTCCCAGGCTTGGAAGAGTGGCCTGATGTAGTCCAGTGGCACGGCCTTGCCCATCACCCAAGCTGGGCACTCAAGGTGCACCCCCATGGGCTATAGTTGTGCCTTGATTGCTGTGGGTACATCAGTGGAATGGATTTACTGCCATACTGATCAGCTGTAAAGACTGGCTGTGACCTCTGACCACCATGGATCAGCTGTGTAGGGGAAACCACACAGAGCAGGACTTACTTCAGTGGGCTGTGGTGCCCGCTGAGTCCACCCCTTGAGTGTGTTGCTTATGGAGGTGGTTGGGTGGCGATGCTTCAACATGGTCTGACATTGTCCACTGGGCCATAGTCTGAAGCTCTAGGGCTTCCCAGGAGGTGCAAGCCAAGGTCAGCCACCGCCTGTGTCTGCCTGGGGCCACCTGGCATGGCTACTACTTGTGCTGGACTTGGAGGTACCAGGCCAGGCCAAGCTGTGAACCAAGACCAGCTGCTGTTAGTGCTGGGCCTGAAGCCACTTAGCAAGAGGTACAGATACTCCAGTCAAGATGTCAAAATTACAACTAAACTACCATCATTCAAAACTGCCTGAGATTTGGCTGAATGGAAGTCCTACAATGAGAGAATTAAGGAAGCCACGTCAAGACTGGTAGGAAGTACAGGGATGCACAACAGGCTATTCCCAAATCCATGTGTGGCTGATAAAACTCGGGAGGAATATCTCAGTTGCAGAGTCCTACCTGAGGAGTGAAGGGTCCCAACCCCACACCAGGAACCCCAGCCAAGGATTATAGTTTCAGGAAGAGAAGTCCCCATAACTTCTGGCTGTAAATACAAGTGGGGATTGAGGCTGAGGGACATGGAGGGCTGCTGAAGTCCCAGGCAGTTCCTCTTAAAGGGCCCAAACAGGGACTTACTTTGACTCACTCCCTCTGAGCTCCAGAGCTGGAGCAGCAACTTGAAAAGCACCAGAGACCTATGGGGTGGAACTGAAGTATCCTGCATTAGGGCAAGCAGCATTCTCCCAGGCAGAAGTGCTAGCAGAGACCGCTGTTCCTTTGATGAGCCCTCCTGCCAAAGAGCTGACAGGTGGGCACCGTATCTGATACTCCACCCACCTGGTTCACACTGGTGAGTCCATGATGCCTTGCTCCACCCAACATACAGGCAACCCAAACTGCTTCCAGTAGCTTTTCCATCGAATGGCTTGTCTCAGCTCATGCTTCAGATTTTCCTAAAATCTCTCAAACAAGTAGCATCTGGCCTTAGCATGCCCAGTACTTCCCAATTTTTATCCACCATATATGGGTGTGGGACCAGCCGTTCACTGTCTCCATTCAGTCAGATTTCAGGCGGTTCTGAATGATGGTTGTTCTGTAGTTATTTGTAATTGTGATGGGGTGAATATTCAAGTTTTCATATCTTTGTCCAGTGAGAACATCAAGTTGGATCCTGAGTCCTTATGACCCAATCATAAAGGTCTTTGATAGTTTGCTACCAGGTAGAATAAAAATATTCCAAGCTCAGCTGAAGGCCTGGAATCAGATATTTCTTTAAGAAATTCTGGTTCTGTCTGGCTGGCGTGGCTCAGTGCTTGAGAATCAACCTATGATCCAGGGGATCGCGGATCGATTCACAGTCAGGGCACATGGGTTTCGGGCTCAATCCCCAGCACAGGGCATACAGGAGGCAGCGGATCAATGATGATTCTCACATCATTGATGTTTCAACTCTCCCTCCCTCTCCCTTCCTCTCTCTCTGAGATCAATAAAAATAGTTTTTTAAAAAGCTTGGAAACTTAAAGAAAAAAAATCTGGTTCTTCTAAGTGAGTTGCTGTCATTTTTTTGGTTTTGTTTTTTAGTTCTGTGAACATTTATTGTCGTTTTCAAATATTTCTATGCTTTGCTCATTTGTGTTTTTCCCCCTCTTCTCCTGCTTTTTTTCTGTTCTTCACACATCACTTAACTTTTATATTTTACTACTTCTTAATCTCTTGTCTTCTGGGAAATCTCCCATAGTTAATTTGTTAGTTCTTGTGTGAATTTTGCTAATCTACTACTGCTTCCCTCTCTCTTTCTCTCTCTATCATACAGATTCTTCACTAAGTTTGAAGGGATATTTAATGACCTATGCTAGTTCTCCATCTTATCCCTTTTTAATTTTTTCCTCCAAAACCTATATTTAGGCACTGGCTGGGCGGCTCAGGTGGCTGGGGTATTATTCTGTACACCAAAAGGTTGCAGATTTGATTCCCAGTCAGGGCATGTGAGGGAGCCAACCAATAATGTTTCTCTTTCACATCAATGTCTCTATCTCTCTCTCCCTCTCCCCCCCGCCCCCGCCTTCCTCTCTCTCTAAAATTCAATTAATATATCCTCAGGTGACAATAAAAAAAACAAAAACAAAAACAAAAAAAACCCCTATATTTAAAAGTGTGCTTCATATTTAAGAAATGTAAAATTACTCCCCTTATTATTAAAAAAGACTTCAACTAATAAAAAGTTAAAGCAATATTTAGAAGAAATAAAAATCAACGATAATCACACAGTAACATGTTATTTTGCTATAGTTCCTTTAACTTTGTCATTCCATTTTTAAATCGTAGTCAGAAAAAAATAGAGAGAATATTTTACTTTGCACAGTTTACTTAAATGTCATTCTCAAGGTCTTCTTATATGGCTATTCTTCAAAATAATATATACTTAAACTCATATAAAAATGCTTCGTACAGTACCTGGAACATGTAAGTGCTAAATAACTGCTTATTATCATATAATGGTTTAATTAATTACTAAGTCAAAATGTAAATATAACCGTTTTCTTCCTGTAGCACACAACAGTTTCTAAGTATTACAATTGCTGTCAATGTTAGAATGAATGCCTACATAGGCTCAGCTTCCCTAACTTTTCCTTTATTTTCCTAGGAACTATTTCTGAGCTGAGATTTAGGTCAATGGGTACAAATATGTTTCCAATAATTTCCACTAATTCAGTAATTACAAAGTATCCTGTGTTTTTAATATGGATTCCTTTGAATATTAGCCATACACTTTCAAAGTACTTTCAAAGCACTTACAATTCAAATTTCCTTTTGTATAATAAAGGCATTAAAGTTTAATAAGTTACTGCTATTAGCTCAATGATGACATTTCATAACGCTTTATCTTCATTAATTGTTCCTTAATGATTACACAGGAATCATTTATTACTTGAGTTAAATGTGTTATTTTTACTTTTAATTAAAACACTTGGAGAACTATAATATCTTAAGATTGGATTAAAGAGTGTTTTAAAATATTTTAAATCTAGAGTCTAGTTATACTGATGTAGTAATGTTACTCTTTGACTCTCATGTGCACCTTTTCCTTTCCTTGCCTTCCTTCACCGTTAAACTCAAGAGTACTGACACTCTTTCTTTTTCTCCTTTTTCAACTTGCTTTAATTTTTTCAGTAAAAAGAACTGTTTTGAATGTGATACCCCAGTAACCCATGATTTCAAAGGTTCCTAAAATGTTACTTACTGAAAAATATGCCTTAGATGTAATATTTTTTAAATGCTGGCATAATATTAAACATTTTAAAAATTTGGTGATTTTCAAATTCTATAATTTTCAAATTCAAAATGCAGAAATATCATATATATATCAGACCAATATTGCAGGTGTATGTATCTCCAATGAGAGACACAGAGAGACAGAGACTCACTCACCTTGAATCTCATTACATCTTCAGCCAGTAATACTACTATATACAGTAATATAATATTTAATACTTATTAAAGCAACTAGCTCCCAATTCTCAGTCTACTGCTAACTACTTACATGATTTGGAAGAAGTCTTTTAACCTCTTTATTGCTAAACTGCATGATCGAAGAAGTGAGATTTAGACCAAATCTAATAAGCCCCTCCAGCTCTAAAATTCTAATGACTTCTGTGCAAACCAATATTCTAAGATCCTTTTAAGTCAAGACCGTTCCTTAAACTTCTGAATCTCAAGGTTACAGTGCTATACACTGAAAAGGAACTATTAAATAACTATTGGTTGACTAACTCTAAACAGATATAACAAAAAAATTACCTGTGCACTATAAGAAGATATCATTTCTAAGGAAATAGCATTTTTAATGCCTCATCATGTCCAATAAAATAGAAATGTACCAATAGCAAAACAGAAATATACGGAGAAATATACTCACCAAGGTATCTAGTCCAACATGCTGTTTTCCCTTTTCTTGATGTGGCCCTAATACCAATTTTCCAGTAGAAAAAAGGGGTGTATCCAATGTTTTATATACTTTCAACTCATCATGCTCAACTGAAAATGTATATGTATCTCGTGGCTTTAAAAGCTCTAAGGAAAAAATATTAATATAAATATAAAGCAATAGCAATGAAATTGCTAAATAATATAACATATACACACATAATTAAAATAGTCATTTTGAGATATAAACCTGCCTTAGACAAAAGTGATTAAGATCACTGACTCTGGAGCTAGAATGCCAGATGTCAAATTCTGTCTGTCTTACAAGCTGTGTAACCTTAGCCAAGTTGCTCACCCTCTCTCTAGGCCTACATTTCCTTTTCTATAAAATAATAGTTCACCTATGTTAGAGTTATAAGTATCAAATGAATTAATTTGTGTAAAGTATTTAAAGCACTGGCACAAAGTAAATATTAAAATCTTAGCTATTAATAATAATAATAATAATGGCAGTATTATTGTTATTTTCATTATAGCACAAATGAAAAACAAAAGTAGCTAAAAAACAAGAAAGACTTACATATATTTAAAAAGTTTAACATAACCCATAATACAAATATATCATCATCATGCCAATAGAGTCCTTTGCATTTGCTTCACTGATTATTAAATAACAAAATTTTTATTTATCGGGTAAAGACTCTAAGTAACCAGAGTTCTAACTGTTGCCCACAAATTACTATCTTCCTTTTGAGTTTTTTTACTTATAAAACTTTCCAGTTATGATTAATACAATTTTCTATCGTCTTCCAACTATTTCCTTGGATATTTGGGAATGTTAGTAATCCCTCATTATAGGATACAGGAAATACATGGACTCAACAACCAGACAAAAGTGATGAACGCCTAACAACACTCACAACTTTTCTAACCTGGTATAGTACAGCAATGTTTTCAATTAAGACACTACACTAAACAAAATTCTCCGTACTTCTACCTCTGCTACCCAATAATCTGAATACAGAAACAACTTTGTTACTTAAGTCAAATGCAACCTATTTCACAGCCAAAATTTTAAGTGTGAGTACCGATAGCCTTTCTAGTTGGACCTATTTGTCCTATGACTTAGGAAAAATAGTCCTTGGTACTCACTGAGACAGTCATAACAGCTGTTAAAACATTTAAATATTTCCTATATATAACTACTGCCCAGTTGGTAAATACTTTACTGTCCCCTACTTTACTCCCACCACACTATGAACATCCCTTGGGATCTCCCATGGTCATCCAAGACACTAACTGTGTAATGCCTATTCAGTACAACAGAAGGTTTCTATGACCTGTGTCAACCCTAAGGTTAAGCGTGGCATCTGTTGGCTGACTGATACACTTCTTAATCTTCCAATGAAAGGTTTTATGTCCCAGGTACCATTACTGGAATTGCACTGCCAAAAAGGCTATCTAAATCCTGCCCGCAATCTCTTCCTGGTCTCATAGTAAGAATGTATCCTAGTGTCTGCCAGCTAACTTGCTACAGTTCCCCATTACCTGCCCTTGTCCCCATGTGTCCTGGTCAAAGGCCTGGACCTACTGGGGAAGACAACACTCTTGATGGTAGCACTTGTATTCCAGATGACAAATGCTCCCTGAAAGTTGTTTACTATCAATGCTCCCCCAGAGTACTCCTCATATGAACTGCTCACTGGAATTAGACCCTCTACTGGACTTTGGCTCTGAAAGAGCTAGAAAGAGAAAGGAGACAGGCCAGTCATCAAGCCAGTAGAGTTCGTACTTATTAGCTATTAAATTAAGCATTTTCAATATTCCTGATCTTACCCATCAGAATCATCTTTCTTGTTTCCGGATCCTTTACCCTCGTTGGTTGCAAAGGATCTCCCAGAGGTATATTCAGATCTACAACTAATTCTTTCTCTGCAAAAGAAACACAATTGAAATACAAACTGCTTACTTAAAATTCTTTTCAATTTAAAAAATCTGGTATGAGCCCAACCGGGCATGGCTCAGCGGTTGAACACTGACCTAGGATCCAGGAGATCAAGGTTCGATTCCCGGTCAGGGCACATGCCTGGTTGCAGGCTCCATCCCCAGTTGGGGGCGTGCAGGAGGCAGCCGATCAATGATGACTCTCATCATTGATGATTTTATCTCTCTCGCCCTCTCCCTTCCTCTCTCTGAAATCAATAAAGATATATACACACACACACACACACACACACACACATATATATTTTTAAATCTGGTATGAAATACAGTTGTAGACAAGTTGTAAAGGAAAACTGCCAGAGGCATAACACTCTCTTCCTATTTATAAATGACCATTCTGATAAACAGTAACTCCAAAACAATAATGATTTAATATAGAAGCAAACATCCTAAATTTCTTATTTTCTGTATGCCTGTTGTAACATGACAACTCTTGAACAAATCAAGAAGTTAAATGGTTTTGCACATTCTCTAAGAGAGCTGGAACTATGCAATACACTTTAGAAAAAATTTACCAAAAAGTCTATTTTAACCATACCTGGGCATTGAAAAGGTAAGTTTCATTTGACAAGGCTATTTACCAGTGTGGAAATATTTTACACTATGCTATTAATGATTTTTGTTTTTAAGAATAAAATCAGTTTAGATTTTCAGTCAAGATGGCAGAGTAGATAAGTGCTGTGCTCTCCAACCCTGAAGCACACATCAAAATTATAACTAAATTATAGAACAGCCACCCTGGAGGACCACCTGAAGACAAGCTGAACAGAAATTTCTATAACTTAGGATATGAAAAGAAGCCATATGGAGGCTGGTAGGAGGAATGGAGACACAAAATAGGCGGGTCCCATATCCACATGTGGTATTTAAAAATGGGGAGGTATATCTCAGCTGTGGAGGTACCCCTGAGAAGTGAGAGGACCCAGACCCACACTAGGCTTGCTAGTCTAGAGTACCAGTGCCAGAAAAATGAGTTCCCACAATATCTGTCTATGAACATCAGTTGGGATTCTGTCTGGGTGAGACAGAGGGCTACTGGAGACCCATGCAAACCCAAGCATGCATTCACTTATTTACAAACACTTTCCCTAAGCTCCAGAGTAAAGATAGCAATGCAAAAAGTGCCCAGGACATTAGAGAAGAAAATCAATTGTCTGGCTTCAGGGCAAGGACTGGAGGGGCAACTCTCTCTGGACAAAAGTCCCATTGTTCCTTTGTTGAGCCCACCCTACACACAGCCCACAGGAGCAAGTAGATTCCAAGTCTGAGTCTCCATTAACCTGGCTAACACTACTCCTCCCACCCTGCTGATTCCCTGAAAACCTAACCCACCCAACTCCTGCGCCAGGCGGAAACCTTTTCAGCAGTTGTTCCACGCAAGTTAACTGGTCTCAGTCAGTGCTGGGGACTTCTCTAAAATCTCTCAAAGGTCCACAAACCACAAACAAGCAGTGGCTGGCCTTGGCATGCCCTGCACCAGTGACAGCTGGCTCGAAGCCTAGCACCAGTAACAGCTGGGCTTGGTTTGCAGCATAGCCTCTCCCTGGTGTCTCCAAGCTCAGCATAAGCAGCTACCAATTACAGATCACACTATAGCTCTTTCCAGGTGGCCCCAAGCAGGGCACAGGTAACAGCTGACCTGAACCTGCACCAGAATACCTCTCGAGAGGTTCCAGAACCAACACACCCAGTGGCTGGTTTCAGACAACACCAGAGCACCACACAATTAGTTCCATAAACAACACACCCAAAGGGTAGATTCAGCAGGCACCAGAGCCCTGCTACACTGAATCCCACTTTGTGGGGTCAGACCCCACACAACACCTTGTCAGCTACAGTCAAGGTCATTCCTCACAGCCGGTCAGCCAGAGCGTCAATCCCACCAACTGACAAGCCAAGAGCAATCTAGGTTCAACTACAATATAAAGGCACATAAACACACACAAGGCACATACCTGGAGCAACCAGCTAAGGTGAGCAGGGAGACTGCGCCACTGGGCCCCACAGAATACCTACTATATAATACCACCTAGCCAAGACTAGGAGACTTAGAGGATCTACCTAATATATAGGGAAAAAAAGGGTGGGTGTGGGGTAGAAGGGGTCAATGGGGAAAAATGGGAGACATCTGTAACACTTTCAACAATAAAGAAAAAAAGAAAAAGAAAAAAAAGGCAAAAAAAAAAGCAGGAGGCAGCCAGAATGGAGAGACAAAGAAACATGTCCTAAATGAAGTAACAGGCCCAGCCGGGCATGGCTCAGCGGTTGAGCGTCGACCTAGGATCCAGGCGATCGGGGTTCCATTCCCAGTCAGGGCACATGCCCGGGTTGCGGGCTCGATCAATGACTTTCTCATCATTGATGTTTCTATCTCTCTCTCTCCCTCCCTCCTTTCTTCTCTCTGAAATCAATAAAGATATATTTTAATAGATGATAGATAGATGATTGATAGATAGATAGATAGATAGATAGATATATAGATAGATAGATAGATGATAGATAGATAATAGGACAAAACTCCAGAAAAAGAATTAAATAAAATAGGGGGAAAAAGATAAAATCAGTGAGAATTTACACAAAGAGACAGAAACCATAAAAAAGAATCAGTCAGAAATGAAGAATACACCAACTGAAATGAAGAATACATTTTACTTAGATGGAATCAACAACATATTAGATGAATCAGAGGGTCAAATCAGTGATTTGGAACACAAAGTAGTAGAAAATACCCAATCGGAACAGCAAAAAGATAAATAAATAAATAAATAAATAAATAAATAAATAAATAAATAAATAAATAAAAAAAAAGGTGACATTTTAAGAGACCTCTGGGACAACATCAAGCATCACCAGGGTACCAGAAGGAGAAGAAAGAGAACAAAAGACTGAAAACCTATTTCAGAAATAATGACTTAAGCTCGGCCAGGCATGGCTCAGCAGTTGAGCGTCAACCTAGGATCCAGGCAATCAGGGTTCGATTTCCAGCCAGGGCACATGCCCAGGTTGTGGGCTCAATCCCCAGTAAGGGGCGTGCAGGAGACGGACGATCAATGATTCTCTCATCATTGATGTTTCTATCTCTCTCTCTCTCTCTCTCCTTTCCTCTCTCTGAAATCAATAAAGATATATTTTTAAAAAAAAAAAAAAAGACTGAAAACTTCCCTAACTTGGCGAAGGAAACAGACATGCAAATCTAGGAAGCACAGAGTCCCAAACAAGATAAACCCAAAAAGGCCCACACCAAGACACATCATAATTAAAATGCCAAAAGTTAAAGACAAAAAGAGAATCTAAAAAGCAGCAAGAAGAAAACACATAGTTACATACAAGTAAGCTCCCATATGACTGTCAGCTGATTTCTCAACAGAAACAATTAGCATGAAATATTCAAAGTGATGGAAAAGCAAAAACCAACAACCGAGACTACTCTACCCAGTAATTCTTTCATTTAGAATTTAAGGAGAAATAAAGAGCTTCCGAAACAAGTAAAAGCTAAAGGAATTCATTACCAGCAATCTAGTTTTACAAGAAATGTTAAAGGGATTTCTTATCAATTTTTTTAATAAAAAATATGAATAAAAATATAAAAAAGAAAAAATCCTCACTGACAGAAACACACATATAATAAATGCAATGAATCAACCAACTATAAAGCTAGTGCAAAAGTTAGAAGGCAAAAGTTGGAAGACCATTTATAATTACAATAACAAATTGAGAAACACACGCAAACATACACAAAAAAGAAATAAAAATAATAAAAGAAACATAAATGTGGAGGGAGCAAATTAAAAATAGTAGTGATTTTAGAATGTGTTCATACTTATGCAACTATTAACTTAAAATAAGACTGCTATAAACATAGCTTGGTATACACAATCCAAAAATCCACAGGAGATATACAAGAAATAAAAAGAAAAGAATATAAACAAAACCCCAGAAAGTCGTCAACATACAAGAGATGAGAGCAAGAGAAAAAGAAGAAAGAAACAAGGAAAAACCACAAAAATAATCAGAAAACAATTAATAAAATGGAAATAACTACATACCTATCAATAATTACTTTAAATGAAAATGAATTATATTCTCTAATCAAAAGACAGGGTGGTTAAATAGATAAATAAATAAGACCCATACATATGCTGCCTACAAGAGACCCATTTCAGATGGAAAGACACACACAAACTAAAAGTAAAGGGACAGAAAAAGACATTTCATACAAATAAAAATGAAAAGAAAGCTAGGATGGCAATGCTTATATCAGACAAAATAGACTTTAAAACAAAGGATATAACAAAAGACAAAGAGGACATTTCATAATGATAAAGGGATCAATCTAACAAGAGGATATAACCCTGGTAAACATATACCCACCGAATGTAAAAGCACCTAAATATATAAACCAAATATTCATAGATATAAGGGGAGAGATCAACAGTAATACAGTAATAGTAGGAGACTTTAACATCCCATTGACATCAATGGATAGATCATTCAGACAGAAAATCAACAAGGAAACAGTGGTCTTAAATGACACATTAGATGGAATAGATATAATTCATATTTTTAGAACATTTGACCTGAAAGAAGCAGAATACACATTCTTTTCAAGTAAACATTGTAAAATTTTCCTATATCAACCACATCATAGGCCACAAAACAAGTCTCAATAAATTTAAGACTGAAATCATATCAAATCAAGCACCTTATCTGATCACAGTGGTATGAAACTAGAAATCAATTATAAGAAGAAAACTTAAAAAACATACAAACACATGAAGACTCTGTAACATGCTACTAAATAATGAATGGGTTAACAATGAGTTTATGGGAGAAATCAAAAGATACCTGAGACAAATAAAAATACAATTACCTCAAATCTATGGGACATAGCCAAAGCAGTTCTAAGAGGGGAATTCACAGCAATATAG